GCCTTTCACGAACCACACGTTGATAGCACGTTGCTCAAGGATCCGGCCGCGGGGCACGGCCCGGATCCGAGATTCAGTGTTGTGTTGTCGACGGGCCCGTGGAAATTGGCGCGTGGTGCCATGATTAGAACACGGACATTCGCTACCTTGATATGCTTTTCGGACATTCTGAAGGCTTTCCTGGCCAATGTACCATCTGGCATGTGTGGCCAGGTTTCCCATGTTTTTGCTTCCATACATGCAGACCATCGACATGAATGATTGTAAATCTATGATTCTACGGCCAAGGCTTACAACGGAGAAAAGGGGCTTGGATACTTGAGCCCATCACGATAGGCAATTGATCACCGAAGTAATAACAATCAATTGTTAGGAAGTTGGGAATATATCAAGCTTTAGAAATCCTGTAGTCTAACGTCGAAATATGGGGCTACGGCTTGTGTTCCACCTCAAGCACGTGGCAGCTGAACAGCATCTGCAACGTCTAAGCAGTCCCCGCAAAGTTGTAGTAAGCGACTTGAAGGTTTTGACTAGCTAGCTAGCAGTGGACTGCTCTAGTTGAGGTCTAAAGTCAGATGGAAAAGTGTGGGAAGAGTTAGGTATGCAATCGATATGGTTGCCAACTCTACTTGATTGCCGCAATTTTGTCTCTGAACACAGGGTCACAGTCCTCATCGCCCATGCTTCTATAGGGATCAGCTACTGTGAGTACCTACGTCACATGCTGATGTGCCTTCCTGATGCCCGCTGTCTTTACGCCTTTGTTAGAACGCAATCTGACGGGACCGAGCCAGAAGGGCGCGGGTGCTCACTGGCCAGTAGAAGCCCACCCCCACAATCCCTAGAGCGCCTAGTTGATTATATAAGGTTAGTATGAGGGAATACTAGGCTTGACAACGATTCCAATGACTCAAATCTCTACACCCAACAAACGGCCTCTGGTGGAATTTAACAAGTAAGTTGATTTAGACTACTCATGTCATATGTCATCACGTTAATACTGACTCAGTCAAAGGAACTGAACAAGACCACAACTCAACATGGCTGCGGTATCGGCACCCCCGCTTGTTCACTCAGCCCTAGATGCCATCGGCAACACACCATGTGTACGGCTGCGGAGTGTTGTGCCGGAAGGTAGCGCCGACGTGTATCTAAAACTTGAGTCTCTCAACCCCACGGGCTCCTACAAAGATCGCCTAGCCAGAGCCATAGTCGAAGAGGCAGAACGCCGAGGAGACTTGAAGCCGGGATCGACCGTAGTGGAAGCCACCGGCGGTAGTACCGGGTCTTCTCTGGCTTTTGTATGCACCTTGAAGGGGTACGGATTTCATGCCGTCTGCTCGGATGTCTTCGCCAAAGAGAAATTGCGCACGATGGCTGCTTTTGGGGCCTTTGTCGATATCGTCCACAGCCCCACCGGCAAGATTACACCGGATCTGTTTCCGTCTATGGTTAAGAAGGCGAATACTATCGTTGAAGAGAACGAGGGGTACTACGCCGCAGACCAGTTCAAAAACAAGGACTGCATGGCGGGTTACAAGACGCTTGGAGACGAATTGGTCCAGCAATTCCCACAGGGAATCGACGCCTTCTGCGGTGCCATTGGCGGCGCTGGCATGGTTATGGGAGTTGCAAAGGTGCTCAAAGGTGTGCGTGCTGATACAAAAGTTATCACACTTGAGCCTGCATCGTCACCTGTTGTGGCCAAAGGACATGGAGGAGTCCACGGAATTGAAGGCATCAGTCCCGGATTCGTTCCGCCATTGCTTGACGACACCTTGTACGACGAAGCAAGAGCGTACCCGGAGGATGAGGCGCGGGCCATGTGCCGCAGGCTCGCAAAGGAAGAGGGACTCCTGACTGGAACTTCAACCGGACTTAATGTTGTGGGAGCTCTAGCCTTGGCCAAGGAACTTGGTCCTGGCAAAGTGGTTGTCACGGTGGCTTGTGATACGGGTCTCAAGTACACGAGCGGCACTCTGTATGAATAGTCTCACAGCAGAGTTGATAGACGTAAAGCAATGAGTTGCAGAGTCAACTCTGTCCTTGCTTGAAGTGCGTGTTATGCTGTCCATTAGTTTGCTCGGCATGAACAATCAGTTGGCTACTGCAGCTTCCAACGTCTCTGAGTTTACGACTCTGAGCATATCGTTGAAATTGAACCACCTTTGTTGTTGAGATGACAAGCCCTCAATCTTTCACGGTAGTCTCCACGCGCACGTCATGGGTTGACTCACCACATCTCAGCTTTGCATGTGATCGACAGTCAGCCCATGCTTGAGAAACACACTAAGACGTGTGCTCTTTCACTGAAAGACTATCGGGTTTGCTCTCTTCCGCCAAAAGATGCCAGCTCGATTGCCGCGCTTTCGAAACAAAACTGCTCGAGGTGGAGGGTGGCAGGAACTTTTTATTTTAACTGCGACTGTTGCTCAGATCCCAAGCCCAATCCTGGCCTCAGAACTGTCACAAGAAACACCTCAATGGTCACTCGTTGATGAGCAGATTTCTAAGATTGGCGCGAAACCCCGCTCTTAGCGTGCCGTAGCTTGATCCCTGAATGCCAATAATGCCCGCAATGTTTCGATGGGTCTTGGTTCGTCACTGGGGGACTTTGTTCCCACAGCCAGCTTGGAGCCGGCGACTGTGTTCAACAGCCATCTCGAAGACGCAGTATCACTGCCCCCTAATAATCATTGCAGGTTGGGTATACGGTTAAGTGAAAGGTGCAGAAGTTGGAGATTCTTCAGAAGCTTTCAACCCTTTCATGGGAGTACAAAGTCTGCCAAGGGGCTCGGGAATATTCTCGCGCGTTCCGCGGAGAGTTTTGTTGGGGGCTCTGAGAAGAAGACTGGAGGTCAACGCTTCGCGCGTAATGCTCCACTCGCTGTAGCTACACCCGGCGGGGGATAACGCGCCCTATGGCATCGTTTCTTTTCGAGATGACCTCTTCCCTGTGCCCCTTAGTCCCCTCTCAACCTCTCCACCGAGGCTTTCCACCAATCCAAGAATCCTGGGGTCGCATCCGGTTAGCCGAGAGCTGCGGGAAGCTTTGCCAGTGCAGCAGTGTTAACCCACCGGCTCTTGGCCCTGAAGTTGACTCAGATATGCGCACATAGGCGTGTCTAACCGCCGGTTATGGCTTATGGCGCCGCTGAAGCAGCTTCAGGCCGGACCGTGTTGGCCAGGGGAGCTATCATCGCTCGACCGATTCCCGAGGTGGTGAGGCGGGAGGGAACCCTGAAGCTTCAAAACCCCTCACCCCTCATTCTCTTGTGTGCCCGAGCTGTTTGACAGCTTACCTTGCCGTCCTTCAAGACCTGTGCTTCGTTCATCCTAGGAACTGGCGAATACCTGCTGTCCTCTGACGACTGGACCCTGAACTTACGTTCGAGGCGTTGAGAAAGTCAATTGGTGATTCCAGCCTGCAGACTAACATCCCTTGCCGAGCGCCAGAACCTACCTTCATCATCAAGGTACTCGGATCAGACATCCCAAATCAACAAACATGAAGGCCAACGCAATGGCTGTTGCCAGGACTGCTGCCTTGCGAGGCCTTGGACGGACATCTCTCTCATCACAATTCACCTCCAAGCAGCTCCCTGTTGTATCACGAGCATGCATGTCCTCCGTCGCGGAAGCTGTCGGCGTGGCACCCGCTCCCCCGCCTCCCACACCGGTCAACGATGCCGAGCTGAAGGCCGCACAGCGTGCCATTGAGGCCAAGAAGATCCTGCAAAAGGCCGCCAGCGCAACCACTGTTCGACATGACTGGACAAGAGAGGAGATCTCTGCCATTTACTACCAACCTCTGATGGAGTTGGCTTTCCAAGCTGTATGTTTCTCCAGACCGTCGTCATCATCATCTCGTATGTTGCTAACGAGATATCGTTGACCAGGGCTCCATCCACCGTCGTTTCCACAACCCTTCCGAAGTCCAACTCTGCACGCTCATGAACATCAAGACCGGCGGCTGCACCGAAGACTGCTCCTACTGCGCCCAGTCAACCAGATACCAAGACGGCACCGGCCTCAAGGCCAAAAAGGTCGAGAGCGTCGAGTCGGTCCTTGCCGCGGCTCGCACCGCAAAGGAGAACGGCAGCACGCGTTTCTGCATGGGCGCCGCGTGGCGCGATATGCGCGGCCGCAAGAACAGCTTAAAGAACATCAAGGCCATGGTCACGGGCGTGCGGGCAATGGACATGGAGGTCTGCGTCACCCTCGGCATGATTGACTCAGAACAGGCCAAGGAGCTCAAGGAAGCCGGGCTGACTGCCTATAACCACAACGTCGACACCAGCCGCGAGTTCTACCCGTCCGTCATCTCGACGCGCAGCTACGACGAGCGCCTCAAGACCCTGAGCCATGTTCGCGACGCCGGTATCAACGTTTGCTCCGGCGGCATCCTTGGGCTTGGCGAGTCATCCGACGACCGCGTTGGTCTGCTGCACACCGTCTCCACGCTCCCTTCCCACCCCGAGAGTTTTCCTGTCAACGCCCTTGTGCCGATCAAGGGTACGCCGCTGGGTGACCGCACACCTATCCAGTTCTCAAGCATGCTGCGGACCATTGCGACCGCCCGCCTTCTTATGCCGGCGACCATTATCCGTATTGCCGCCGGAAGGAAGACCATGTCGGAGGAGAAGCAGGCCATGTGCTTCATGGCGGGAGCCAACGCCATCTTCACAGGCGAAAAGATGTTGACGACGGACTGCAACAGCTGGGACGAGGATAATGCCATGTTTGGCCGCTGGGGTCTGACACCGATGAAGAGCCACCACAAGTCGCCAGCTCCGATGGCCGAGATTGAGATCTAAAGATAAACGCAGTAAGAAAAAAGATTTTACACCATCATGGGCTTGATGTGGGGGGTTTCGAAACATGTTCCTCAAAAACTAAGGACCTTTGACGAGATGTCCATACTCTAGCTTAGAGATACATGACTCAATACCCCTTTTCCATCGTTCGACTCAAAGCCTCTGTATGCGCGTTCTTCCCACCTAGAACTCAGTCTTGAAGAGTTTCATTTGCCTGATGACTTGACCGTATTTGTAGAAAACTAAGGGGATTGGGATCATGGCAAAAGCGATGAAGCCGAGGAGTGAGTTTCCCCATCCGAGCCCTAGGCTCTGGTACAACCGGTCACCAGCCAGGGGCAAGAATGCGCCTAACAATGACCTGGTGACTGTGCTGGCTGCCATGGCTGATGCAGCGTATGTCGTAAATGCGTCAACAAGATAAGTCGAGATCGACATCTTCAAGATACACACGTCAGGATTGATGACACAGTTACATACTTAGGCAGATGCAGGTTCTTACCAGGACTATAACAATCCCACATCCTAGGATGGCTGTTCCCATGATAGGTAGCATCCATTGAAGCTGTTTTTCTGTAGTCCAGCCATACCAGAACAGTCCTATGGGGACCAGGATAGCGCCAATAAGCATGGGAGGCAGACGATATTCCGGTTGAAACTGCCCGCCATTTCTGAGTGACAACTTCAGCACAAGTCTGTCTGACACTAGGCCAGAAAATAGGAGTCCGATCACTGAGCCTACACCGATGCCGATGTACGCCAATCCCGCTGACCCTTGAGAGAATCCATACTGTTGCTTGAAAACCTGGGGGAAGGTTGTGAAAAGCAGGTAGAGGTAGCCGTAGAGGATGGCCATATAAACTGAAAGGCAGAAGACGATAGGCGAGAGAAACATCATCTTCGCCGGTCGAAGAATAGAGAACATGAAGAGGTCTTTTGGCTTGCGGTGGGGGGCTTGAACAGATTCGAGGTGTGGGTTTCCGGTCTGTAGGCGAAGTCGTCGTGCCTTTCGCTCGAGAAGTGTGAGGGCGTAGGATTCTGGCATGCAGAATGCCGTGCCAATGGCAGCTACGCCAGCCTTGAAAGTCATGTTAGCTGTGATGAAAGAACACGAAGCGATGACTAAGAGACCAACTCACCGCAACAGACACCACTCGAAAAGACCATCGCCATCCTATCGTTTCTGATAAATACCCTCCTGCAATGGGCCCAATGGTTGGGCCCACCATCGGCCCCAGAGTCCAGACCATCATGGCAACTCCTCTTTTCTCTCTCGGAACTGTGTCTGCCAGCGACGCAGCCCCAAGTGTCAACGGGGCAGATCCGCCTATGCCAGCAAAGATGCGAAACGCAATCATGCGGCCCGAGTTGGGTGCCACGGAGCATGCGACGTTGAAAATGAGAAATAAGAGACTGCCAGCGTTGTATAGAACATAACGACCGTACATCTCTGAAAGCGGTGCAATAACTAATGGGCCGCAGCAGTAGCCGATGAGAAATCCTGATATCATGAACGCCCCGACGTACGTGTCCGTGACGTTGAAATCTGACTTGATGGAAGCGATTCCCGGGGCCGCAATCGATGACGCTAGAGGGCTGCGAGTATTTCTTAGTACCAGTGCAGTCATTCTGTGTACCTTTGTGCTCATAAGGTGAAACGGGTCATACCTGAGGGTTGAGATGTACCCAAGTGTTGCGATGAATAGAGCCTTCTTGCTCTTTGACCAATTCATCGGATTTTCTGGATCGCCTGGTCCATCCCAGTCAACTAAGTTAGAATTCACCATTGCAGTATCGCTGTCGTCTGTGGCATCACTAGGAACCATGCTAGTGTCTTTTCTGGGCTGAATCATCTGTTCGCCCATACTTGCCTTCTTAGACTCATATCTGTCAGACTCACGAACGAATGGGGGGACCTATCCGATTTTCGAATGAACCGAGACACGACTATACCTCCATAGCTGATTTGGCATAACGTTCCGAATTTGGCTGACGGCGTTCTCGGTTCATCCTCAGGGCCTCACTGTGCCGAAGCATGTCGTCGGAGTCTCGGACCTTTTGAAGATTTCCGGAGTGGCGCCGACTCTATGGTGAAGAGCTCGGTCATGGCGATGTCCGTTTGCCGCACCCCATCGGTTTACCATCGCTTTCCGAATCCCACCCCTTAAGCTTATTCGCTTCTTTGATTGCGGGCATAATTCAAATACCGTGTCCCCCATGAAGAGACTCCAATCGGATGATGGATATTGGAAACGGGCGACTAGTTGTCCGGGCCGTTGCCGCTGTGGATACTATTAGCTGAACGTTATACCAAGTATAAAATGACCGTCTTGAAAGTCGAGCAGCATATGCCGGTCGTTTTTGCTAACGAGCACATCACTGTTGATAATTCAAATCTAAATCGCATTTCTCTAAATTTAGAGGTTTCACCATGTCGATCAAGCTTGAGAAGGTCGCTCCTCACCGACTGTCGGAACAGAGCGATCCTACATCAGTGAAGCTCAAGAAGCTGCTAAACCGAAACCATAATGAGCACGCCATTCTTCGAGACCCTCGACTGATTTTGCACAACCATATGCCACATGTGAGTATTCCTCGTGCGTGATGCGCACCTACTACTTACTCATGTCTGGGTATTCATTGGGATAGGGGCTGATATAATCACGTCACATGTGACAGGCTCTTGGGTCATCTTATCTTCTCGGCGCAACAGACTCTCAATTACAGCATATTTTCGACGTCGAATCACCTCACCTAGTCGAGCTTGAAGATAAACGGATCACGCATGAGGAGATCACCACATCCAACTGGAGGAAGTTTCTTGGACAGAAGCCATACACTGCGGCCTATGCCGTATTCTTTGATGGCGAAGTTGCCAAAAATGGCGGGGACTGGAAGAAGGTTGTAGAAGAATATGCCTGGGCTGGACCGGAGCCGATTATCAACGGGTTCTCTGGAGGACGTAAGTCTTCCGTTCTATAGGCTGCGTCTCATCACGTCTGGTGATGAATCAGGATTTGACTAATCTTTCATCATCGCAGTCGGGCACCCTTTCATTCATCTTGCCTACGCATACGAATTTGATGACGAAAAAGTCGCCACGGAAGCCTTGAGCATGGGCTGCACGGAGTACGATCCGACTCACGAGATTCTGGATAACCTTCCGCCAGACACGTCGACTTACAAGACCAAAAGCATCAAGGAAGTCTTGGGTCGTATCCGTGCCGACAAGAGATTCGATGGCTACGTCGATTCCCCGGGATTCGTGAATCTTTTCACCCTCTTCGGCAGATTCAAGTCTGAAATAATTGAACACTGGCACGCGTGGGTTGTCGAGGACCCAGACGCGCAGCTCGGAGACTGTGCCAAGATGGCGGTCGAGCTGTTCATGGAAACGCGTAATAATGAGGAGGGCATGTTCGATTTCTTCGTGGCTCACATTCTGACCTTCGCCCATGCTTTGCGCGTCCTCTTACCCCTCTGGTCGCATGAGCAAAAGGTCTCGGTGATGCTACAATACGGTCTATATACGATGATGGTGTACATCGCACAGCTTCGACCCGGCCTCAACTGGGATGACGAAGGGTTGTCAAAGGGTAGCGATACACCTAAGTGGGACACGATCTTCAAGAACTCATTGAACAGCAAGTGGATGACTGACGTGCACTTTCCGAAGGTCGTCAGAGGCATGAAGGCGGTTGAAGAGACTTGGGGGGCTTCAGGCGGACTGTATCAACGAGCTGCCGACGTGTTTGTGAATAAGTTTAACGGGTGGGGAGGATATGGTGTCGGTGTCGAGGCTGCCTTTGGGCTTACGGGTGTTGCTTAGTTACTTCTCATCAGGCTCAGCGTCCTTTACGGCAGTTAAGCAACGAATTTGTAGCAAATGGTCAGATACCATGAATATCTGAGCGGTATGGCCGAATAAGACTGAGTGTTTCAAGTGAGAGATGAGTGAGTGAAGTGAAGTGAAGTGAAGTGAAGTGAGATGAATGACTGAGGAAGAGTGAGATGAGGTAAGCTCAATCCACATGAGGAGGTGCGCCCGTTGAAGTCTAATTGCAAGTGAGCAAGCCCGACTGCTGGACCTTGTCTCTCTCTTTCTTACCACTGCACCGCCCGTCTCAAATAGCGCGAAACAGGGCACATCAATCACAACAATGTACGTACTTGGTTTAGGGGACCAGGTACGTCTAGCGCGCAGTCGAGTGCCGTCATCTGACGCTGTCGCCGTCGCCGTCGCCATCGACGTCCTGTCGGCACAACGGCATCAACAATGATCATGGCCATCCTCTCCCTAATGCATCCTATGTACCTCGATTCAATATCATCGACAACCTCACCAAGTCTCTAGAAAACCTCGCATGAGTTCTATCAGCTCTCTCGAGCGGTGGCTCGCGCGCTTCTCGGGTCGCTTGCGTCGCTATTTACCGCCCCTAAACTTCATCACCATTCACTATGCCTACTTCATCCTCGTCTGTCTCATCACGTCCGTCATCTTCTGGGGGTCGTCCGATCCAGCGTTCTCGGTCAGCTACACCGATAGCCTCTTCCTCGTTGTGTCTGCCATGACCGAGGCAGGCCTCAATACCGTCAACCTCAGCCAACTGACGACGTGGCAACAAACACTCCTGTTCATCCTACTACTCTTGGGCAGCACGATTTGGGTCTCCATCTGGACAGTCTTGGCCCGTAAACATGTCTTTGAGAAGCGCTTCGACGAGATCGTCCGAGCCGAGCGTGCGCGTAAACTCAGTCGCCAGGGTAGTACCATATCGCTAGGTTTGCCGCGCTTGCCTCTCGATTTGCCTCGGCTGCAAATGGCCTTCTCCTTTGGCAAAACCCAGGCAGCCCCTCCTCAACCTCCTCCTCCTCCTTCAGGCCAGTCTTTCAACGCCACAAAAGCTGGCGACTCGGAGAAGGGCGAATCTCGGGCAGACGACGAACCAGCGGATGCTGCAGAGGCCTCACCCAAAGACCGCCGCCAGTCCACACTCCAGGATGCACCTGAGGATGCGCCTCAAGACACCCAGGAGGTGACGGACTCGCAGGCACCGGGCCACATCACCTTTGACGATACACCGCACCCCAATGTCGCCGACAACCAAGCCACGTCAACGGGAGTCTCTCTTCCCGGCAACACTAATGGAACGGCGCGCCCATTGAGAAGGCCCTGCAATGCCTCAGTAGACCCGACTAGTGTCGACGCAGACGCGCGAGACTTGTTGAAACACCGTTCAGCTAGTCGCCATGGCCAATTCCATGATCTAAGCAGCGATGAACGCGATCATCTCGGCGGCTGCGAATATCGTGCTCTCAAGGTCCTAGCCATGTTGGTACCAACCTATTTCTTCCTGTGGCAGGTTCTGGCATCCCTTGCCCTTGGAGCTTGGATGAATAACTACATGCCCGATACCGCGAGGGCTAACGGTATCAATCCGTGGTGGCTTGGTATCTTCAACGCTGTTTCTGCCTTCAATAACTCGGGCATGTCGCTGTTGGACGCCAACATGATCCCTTTCCAACAGGCGCCGTACGTTCTCATCACAATGGGTCTTTCGATCTTGGCAGGAAACACCGCGTACCCCCTCTTCCTTCGTCTCATCATCTGGTCCTCTCTCCGCCTCCTAAACTTGACCACGCGAGAAGACGCCTTCATCGACCTCAAAGCTACCCTGGAGTTTATCCTAAAATACCCTCGTCGTGTCTACACCAATCTCTTCCCTTCTCGGCCCTCTTGGTGGCTTTTATTCATGCTGATTTCCCTCAACTCTGTGGACTGGGTAGCCTTTGAGGTTCTCAACATTGGAAACTCTGTCATTGAGAAAATACCCACAGGTTATCGGGTGCTCAATGGTCTCTTTCAAGCACTAGGTAAGCTTTTTACTCGTTCTCCCCTGGAAGTTCATGATGTTCAGCGGAAAGACTGGCTGACATATCGGCTAGCTGTGCGCTCCGGAGGCTTCTACGTTGTCCCGATCTCGGGCCTGTTCATCGGCCTACAGCTTCTCTATGTTATAATGATGTACATCTCGGTATACCCCGTTGTCATCACCATGCGCCATTCCAACATATACGAGGAGCGATCGCTCGGAATATACAGCGACGACATAGACACCGCATCCGAGACCGACCCTGAGGTGGCCGATCCCCTGCTCCCTATAGGTAGTCGACCTCCAACATTGGCACGCACTACTAGCATTGGCGCAGCTTCTGCTCGACCTTCTGTCTTAGCACGTCGACTTAGCCGTTCGGGTCCGGTCGTCGAAGCCCGCCGGGCATTCAAGAGCACCTTCATGACCTTTCACGGTGTTGGCGTTGTGCCACCAAAAGGACCGGGACTCGGCCAGGGCGGCGCCGAGCAGGGAGAGAGCCGCGTCAGTTTCATCAGCCACCAGATACGCGGACAGCTTGCCCATGACCTTTGGTGGTTAGTACTAGCTGTTTTGATAATCACCATCATCGAGACGTCAAAATTCATCCAGGATCCCGTGACGTTTTCGGTTTTTAACATCATATTCGAGGTTGTCTCGGCATACGGTACGGTGGGAATATCAGTCGGCATACCAACTGACGCGTACAGCTTCTGCGGTGCCTGGCACGTCGGAAGCAAGCTTGTTCTATGTCTGGTCATGTTGCGTGGCAGGCATCGAGGGCTACCAGTCGCGCTGGATCATGCAGTGCGACTTCCAGGACGGCAGCTCCATCGGTACGAAGAGGAGGACCATCAGATACGGAGAAGTAGGACCATCGAATTGGAACGGTAGAAGTACATGTAGATTGCCCCGAGGTATGGTTGTTAGACATGTTAAAGAGAATCATTCCATTATTATCAGCCCGAAGATTGATGCTATCCACACTTGAAAGTGCTCTAATTGGGATCTACAATGTTAACGCTAGGCGAAGGTGCAGGATAAAAGATAGACTGATCGGGAACATGAATGCTGGCCCCAAATAAGGCAACCAACGAAGAATATGCGATACGGTAATTCATGCAGAGACCAAATGCGCCAGCCACCCTGATGCACTAGACGAGATGTAATGCGATGCGCCAAAAGAGAAACGAGAAACATGAAATCGAAATGAATAGCAAAAGCAACTTTGCAGGGACTGAGAAGCAAGATAGTATGCCTCATCTCGAGGTTACCACAGTTACTTGACATTGGTCTATCACGCAGGCAAAGAAACGCTGCGAGGGAAGAAACGCTCGTACGTCGATTTTCCGAGCTTGGCGATGGGCACGCTTACACCATGAACCACCTAGACACCGTCAGTACGCCGGCTTCAAATAGAGATCCAGATGTCAGGGACTCTCGAAACGTGATGTCACTCACAATGCTGCAGATGATCAGGAACCAGATGGTGACAAGCATGGTCTCGCCCAGCTGCTTCGCGTCCGCTCGCTGGCCGTCGTCATCCGTCAGAGTCTCGAGGAACTCAAGACCGACGTAAAGATAGAAGATGGCAGAAACACCAATGGGGCCAAAGTAACCAACGAAAAGAGCCTGTCGTGGACCCCGGATCTGGCGGATGTAGCGGTGCAAGCCCAGTATCACTGGAAGACGTCTCAACAGCAAGACGAGAACGCCCAGCGCGACCAGACGACCCGGACTAATCAGCTCAGAGTTCCAGAAGCTCTCCCACGGACACACAGCGCCCAGCCACATGAAGATGGCCATGTTGAGCATCATGTCGACGGCGGGCTGCACGGGATCCTCGACCGTCTCGAGACGGAACCAGTCGTTCCAAGTGAAGACGTTGCCCGCGATGAAGCACGCCAGCACGTCGTCACTGCCGACCATACCGCACGTACCGAGAATGAAGATGGCCATGCCGATGGGGAAGAGGAGGAAGCATTCCCGCTCGACGTACTTGCGTCGCTCGGCCCAGTGAAGGAGTCTCTGCGCGAGCAGGCCGACGACCCAGCCGTAGAAGACGCTCATGAGCACGACGTAGACGCACGTCTGGCCGAAGAAGAGGCTCAGCGCGGCACCGAAACCGCCTTCGCTCGAGGCTGGGTTGCCGTCGCTCTCGGTGTACTTGATGAGGTAGAGCGCGAGGAAGAGAAAGGGGTACCCGAGGCCATCATTCGCTCCGGACTCCGCAACAATGATCTGCTGCAGGTCCTCGGGAACATTCTCCTCGGCAAAACGGCCTTTGACAATCGTGGTGGAGAGAACCGGGTCGGTCGGGGTGATGCAGGCCGCGATGGCGAGAGCGTGGACGAGGGGCAGGCCCGGGACGATGAGCCAGACGACGGCGCTGGTGCAGGTCCACATGCCTATCATGCCGGGTCCGAGGAGGAGGCAGAGGGACTTCCACTCTGTGCGGAGGTAGCGGCTCGGCAGCTGCACGCCGGCGAGGACGAGCTGGACGCCGAGAACCAGGCGGCTGAAGTCGAGGGTCACGGATGCGACGGCATCTTCGGAGACGGCGTACTCGCCGGGCTTGAGGAGCTTGGCGACGTGGGTGAAGGTTACGCCTCCGAGGAGGGAGACGACTTTTGGCAGTAGGATTGGTTAGCTACCTAGTTCGAAGTGCCTTGTTACATTTGTGCCAAAAGAGCAGAGCCTGAATAGGGGGGGAAGAAGCAAATGAAGAAGCAACAGGTTTGAGAAGGCTACGGTTCACTTACGGGCTTCAGAAAGATACAGGTTCTCTTTGATGAGATACGAAAAAGTGCCGAATAAGACGAGCCATCCGCCGAGCACGCTAATCACCACATTGAAATTCGTGATTGAGAGGTCCATAATGCCTCTCAATGTGCTGCAAGCAAGCAGCTCCGACTGGATGCCTCGCCTTTGGGTCTCGACGCCTTGGGATGAAGAAGGGGTTGAGTGTTCTTCGGCTGCGACATGAAACGGAAATGCCTCACGTTACGGGACCAGGCGGGATGCTGCTGCGGTTATCAACTCGACTTCGACAACGGAAACGTGCCTTGAACCAACTACACCAACACTCACAAAAGTAAGAGGGAGAGCGTATGGCAAGGGCAGATTAACTTGGATGCATGAAGAATCAAATCTGGAAATACAAAACAAGTGGAAAAGACATCCACGGCTATCGGATATCAATACTCCTTCGTTACGTTAAGTCGGGCAGCCGTTTGTTTTCTCCCGCGAGCGCCCGCAAGACAGGACGAAGGAGGCCACCGATCGAAGCCCGCTCATCTGTTTCTATACTAGTCCCGATCTTCTGCTCTCATTTTACACTCTACCTGTCACCGACTCACCCACCAGGTAGGATGAGGCATTTCAAGGCCATGGAGGCTTAGCCTTTAGCCCATGTCGGCAGTGCCCGCTAAAGCCAAGTCATCCTGACCCCCTTCTCGCAGACATGTGCCCCCCTGCCATTGACCATCCATGATCAGGCCTGTCCATGGTCCCCTACATTTTGAAGGGCTCATGCAGGGTTCTCTCGACTTTCAGAGCTACCGCGAAGACCGCCTGACCGTCTTTTCTGACAATCCCATCTCGAATCTGCTTGATACGGCCGCGGCTATTTGAGACTGCGGGGCAGAGTCATGCGCTCCATGTGCCGCCAATCTCTTGTTTTCCCTGGCTCTATCGATGCCTTTTTGGACCTTGTTCTCGTCCACTCAAGCGCTGTAAACTAGTGCCGTCATCACCGTTGAAGAACTCCAGCGGCGAACTACCCCGGCCTCTCTCCCCCGGCCTCTCTCCGCATTCCCCGCTGTAGGTTTCAATCCGCACCCCAGTCGGACAACTTTCGAAGGCCTACTCTGCACTGATAATATGGGCTCGGCGAGACATAGTACCATGGCTCGAAATTCCGAGAGCTCGCCGACTCGCAACGGTACTGGCAGAAGAAACAATATCCTCTACCCAGTGCTCACCCACGAGTGAGCTCAATAAACTCACCTGAGAAGCCTATAACAAGCCTCCAAGAGGCAATTGTCGACTCACTACGCGGTAATCAACTTTGCCTAGGTATCCCATAGGATGGTCCAAGTTATCAACAACAACAATGAGGGCCGGCCCACCTCTGAACGCCAACCAACGCTACGCAAGACTTAGGCTACCGCATTCTTGCTTCATACAGCTTTCATCGCGACAACAACCCCGAAGACAGTGTGATGAGATGATGAGATATTGGCCGTGTTCTCCATACGCACGAGGAGGAGTCTACTTCTTATTCAATTTCATTGAATCTTACTTTCATTTTGGTCATGAACTACTTCATGATAAAAGCTGGCAGCATCATCTCGTCAAGTCTCACTGATTGAATGAATTTCTTCAAGCGTCATTGCTTTGAACATCGAGCCTACGTGACAGCTGTCTGATATGTCTACTGACTTTGGCATGCAGTTTCAGTCGTCTTGGCTTCATTGAACATTCCCTTTAATCAGAAGTGACGTTTATCTGTCGGAAATGGCCTTCTACATCTTGGCAGAGCAGATGCATGTAACGCTGAAACCCACATCTTACATCCTTCATATTGAAGTACGAAGAGGATAACACCAACAACGACTCTTTTCAAGCAGTCCTGACTAACGAAATTGCAGACCGACTATCAGAAGATGTTTGATAAGTATGCCGAAGATGAGATGCATCGGCGGCGAAACGCCTCTCACATGCCGCTCCACCACAGATTCCGATGAGACGAGGTCTGACGCCCACTGGCAGCGGCGCCAACTTAACGACAGAGCGCACTGGCAGGATTGCGGGGACTTACAACTGCCCGAAGATCAACAACAAGATTGATTTGACACTCGAAAGATGTCGTGGGCAAATGTGAGTTTCGGTATAAGATTTGGGCGAAGACCCTGAAAAGACGCGCTCTTCGCACGCGCCTTTCATCTCTCCCCGTTTGAGGATTATTTTTTGATACTTATATCACGTTTCTCATTCCAACTCAAGCGAAAACAGAGAGCCATCAAGGCTATTAATCATGGGCTCGAGAGGAGAATATTCTGTGCCACAGGAGGCGGAGGCGGTTTTCCAACACGGCATTCTGAACAACCCCTTGATGAAGGATCTTCCCGGTGACCTCAAATATCTCAGCCAACATGTCAAATTCGAGGGCTCAAGCAAGCCGAGCGTTCCAATCAATTGGCGCTTCGCCGAAAGCATCTCGGCTCTGAAGGCCTTGGAGGCAACCATGCTCAACCGGCTGATTCTCAAAAAGTACAACACAGAGCCAACGGATGTCACCATCAACACGTAAGTAATTCCATTTCCAACAGTCGCGTAGCAGCCTCCTAGTAGCTATGATGACAAGATAGCTCATACAATTACTAGTGACCATGCAAGCTTGTTCTACTTTTCGCCTCTCATTGCTCAGCTCATCGGGAAGGATGGCAAGTTCACGCCCATGGCGCTTATGAACTTTGTGCCCGAGGCCATGAAGATGTTCCCGGAAACAGATAAGCATAGGACCGCCGCAAGCTTGCATCGTGCCCTGGTGACGAACATTCACAAGACGAAGGATGGACGGTATTACCAACTTCACGGTAAGACACTCCTCCACTCGAGCGAACCCAACCATAGGTCGTCTAGGCCCTCGCATCTGGCTAAGTACTGTAGGCGGCATAAACCCCGACCCCATCCTCAAAGCTCTGGGTTTGCCCGAAGATGGTCCAGCGGATGACACCTATGAATCAGTCTTTGAGAGAACCCAAAAGGTCATCGCCGAAATGGACTCCAAAGACCTGGACACTCTACTTAACGACAAGGCCCGACAATCTGGCACGGTCGCGTGGTCGTCTGACGAGTACTTTGCAAGCGAGCACGGCAAAGCAAACAGCAACGTCGGGCTCTACGAGATCGCAAAAGCTGAAGGCTCTACGCAGCCCGCGTCTTGGTGGCCCGAAAACTCGAGCCTGCCCTCGTCGGCCAAGAGGCCCCTTGCCGGCCTCAAGATCGTGGACCTGACCCGAATCATCGCCGCACCGCTCATCTCACGCGATCTAGCGGAGATGGGCGCGAGCGTTATGCGTGTCACCTCGGATAAGATTACGGACATGTCGTCTCTACACCAGGATCTCAACTGGGGCAAGTGGAATTGTCATTTGGATCTTACAAAGGATGAAGACAAGGATAAGCTGAGGGCGTTGATCAGGGATGCTGATGTCGTTGTTGATGGATACCGCCCTGGCGCCATGGAGAAGCATGGTTTCGGCCGCAAGGAGGTTCTGGAGCTGGTGAAGGATCGCCAGCGTGGAATCATCCACGTCCGTGAGAATTGTTACGGATGGCATGGACCCTGGCAGGGGCGTGGTGGATGGCAGCAAATCAGTGACGCTGTGAGTGACAAATTTCCAAAGAGGATTTTTGGATATTTGACTAACAAGTGATCAAGTGCTGTGGTGTCTCATTAGAGTATGGAAAGGCGATGGG